TTATTACTATTTTTTATTAAATATTATTATTATTATAGTTGTTATTTTTAATGAGAATTGTTGTCTTTTTTATTGTTATTATCATAATCATAATAATAATAATTGTTATCAATATTATATTTATTATTTTTATTATTATCTATTGTTGCTGTTTCTTCCGACACCTGTCTCTCGTTTCTTCTCTCCCTCTCCTCGCTTTGCTGTGTCTCATTTAGGTTCTCTTGATGGGGTTTTTTTTTTTTTCTTTTTTCAAAATTTGCAATTATTCTTTTGTCACCCAGATTATTTATGGCGACGCCCGAGCTATTTGCCTCGGGATGTGTGATCCGTATCAGATAATTAGTTTCTTTTTATTTTATTTTATTTTATTTAATTTATTTTTTTTGGACACTCAAAGAAGGAAGTCTCCTGTGGCGTTGTCATAAATAACGAGGCGAAGTTTTCTGGTGTCAGATCAGAAGAAAAAAGCAATCTTCTGGATTCAGTTCGAGATATTACTTACTAAAATTAGACATCTTTTTCGGAACGCTGGTAAAAATAAGGTGTCCAATTAGGCTCTGTTATTGTCTTTGCCTTTTGTTAGATTTATTTGTTTCAGGTGAGAAGGAGGCTTAACGAATATGATATAGATTGTAAAGTGCATGGAACCTGCCGTTGAGTGGAAATTTGTGCAATATAAATGTTATTTTTGTTTTAAAATTTAAAAATAATTATAAAAAGAATTTTTTTTAAAAATAAAAAATATATGTATTATCTATTGGTATGTGCAGAAAGTTGGCCTTACAATTATCCAGTGGTTCATCTGAGAGGTGGGTTTTACCTCAAGATTTCTGGAAGCCCCCGAAGTCTGGGTGAGCCCGCCTGTCCTTAAAAGCGACCAAATTATTATAAGTTTTGCCCCTCCCCCAGGCTGTCAACGGAAACGTCATGACATCTGTCATCCCCGCCTTTTTCTGTCACGTCCTCCACCGCCACCTCTTGGCACTGACGACTGTCACAGAAACTTGATCAACTGAACAGCATGCCCTCTAAAAAAGCTTGGTTAAGACGCGCACGGCATGTGGTAGTAGTTCCTGTGATAGGCTCAAACCCATCGTCATACCGCGTGCTCCTATGACCTTATGCCGCAGTTCCGAGCGCTGTGAAACACTTCCAAAGAAAAAAAACCCAGCATCATAATTCATAACTACCCCC